GTTCCTGCTACATCTGGGGTCTCTGTGTTGCAGGCATGGCTGTCCTCAACTGTAGAAAACTCCGAGCTGAGTTCTGACGGCGTTTTCATGCCTTGAATTCGCCCATTGCCCGTCGCATGGGCCTTAAAAACGATTGGAAATACTGGCCGACGTTTTTAAAGTGGACCGCGATAAAAACGACTGGCGAATTTTTACAAATTTTTAGAAATAAAAACGCCTCTTGGGGAGGTCCGTTTTTAAAAATTGCTATATTTACGTATAAAAACGACTGCTGGGGATGCTCTAAACAGCCAATCAGTGTATTACGTCCGTCGCTAAGAGTCTCAAGACGTCAGTCGAGCAGACGTCAAGTGCACGAAGGTCAATAACGACTAGCAGTCTTTATAATCGAATCGTTTTCTTTGCCATTCTGCGATCAGCTCGCGCTTTGCAATCTCGCTTGCGCCGTTTTTCGCATTCTTGCTATCAGTGCATGGCACCGGCGCTTGCGAAGGCTACAGGCAGCTGCTGAATGATGTGGCGGGTCCCATGATGACGAACCACCACGCGCAGCCTCGTTGGGAGTCCAACGAAACACCAGGAATGACACTTTGCGGTGGCAGTTAATATCATATACCACGGGATGGATCTCTCCGTACGCAGCTCACTCCCAACGACCAAGTGCTGGTGCCAACTCCCACGCCTTCAGGCGTTGCGCTACGTATGCGAAGTCTTTGTGTCATAATGAAGATAACGCGGAACACGTTCATATATATATATATACAGTGTAGGTCCGGTCTTTAGTGTTCAAGACGCTGTAGACACTGGGACAGTGTCAGGCCAACCGAGTGTCTAAAATGACTCCACCTTACTCACCGCAACACATGTGTAGCGATGAGTCTGCTATCAGGTCACGCTATCATAGTCGTACTGTACTGTACTGTAGGAGGTGAAGGCGCAGCCACCGAAACTTACTTGTTGGTGCAGACGCCATTAGCCATGCCCGTTTACAGCCTTGGACGTTGATTTCGCAGTTACGAACACAATTCGTCTGGCCGGGAGCAAATCACAAGTGTCTGCAAAACAGATGTTCCAACACAGCAACCGATGCGACATTGTTCTCCCTCCATCTCCTTCAAAGCCAGGGTACCTGGAAGGGTAAGTACATTGCTCGTCGACAGAGAAGGAAATGGTGCACTGAATTCCATGCACGGCGCCTCACACGATGGAGCACTGACCCTCAAGGTTCATGTCCGCGCGCTGTTGTGTTACGTAGCACTCTGTGTTATGTTGCGTTCACTGCAGACAGAACGCGGTCCGCAGGCTGTAACATTGAGCCCCGTCAAGGTATCTGTGGGTCGAATCAAATGCTTGCTTGTCTGCGAAGGCTTCGGAAGTAACGTGCGCCTTCATCCTTCACTGAAGGATTGCCAAGCGCAGCGCCCTTACAAGCGCAAACCAATAACGAATTCGTAAGCAATGACATTTCACCTCTACAAGTGGATCGAGCAACGCGCTGCTGCCAACTTCATTGTTCTTGCCGTACGCCATCCGAGCGATCGTTGAGTCAAGGTTCACACCTGCCACAGCCATCGCTACTGTATGTACCAAGTACGTGGGTGCGACTGGGTGCGAGGTGTAGTTCGTAGTGTATGTGATCGCGGATGGTAGCGGGGTGCTTGGATGTGCTTCAAGAATGCTGAACCGAGAGCAATGATAGCGACACTGATAGCTACTCTACATTGTTGGCTGCGAGTGCAGTGTACATTTTTCATCATGTCGACAAGACAAAACAACAGCGCGGAGCTCGGCTTGGCCAACTCGGGGCGCGCAAGTCTGCGCTTGTTTCTGTGCCTTATCGTCGTCGCCGTCGTCAACTTGAGCAGCTTCCAGGTCGGCTACATCATGGGCACGGGCTCGATCGAGCAGCGTCAGCTCGCATCGGGCAGCGGTACGGCGTCAGGCCAAAACACGGAGCTCTTTCCGGAGCCAGAGATGTTGTCGCCCTTAATTCCAACGGAAGAGTTCGAGTTCGACGAGGACTTTTCAACACCGTTAACGTCGCTTCCGACGACCGAAGTCGAAGCCACGGTCCAGCCATCAACAGTGACGCCGGTCGCAACGACAGATGAGCCGACGCCGACACCGACCACAGTGCTTCCGACACCTCAGCCCACCCCAAAGCCCACGCCCGAGCCCACCCCCGAGCCGATTACCGATGCCCCGACACCCGAGCCGACCACGGAGCCTCCCACGCTGCCGCCGACAACCGTGGCGCCGACACCAGAGCCGGTCACGGACGCCCCGACGCCGCCACCGACGACGTCGCCAACTCCCGTGCCTCTCGTCACCGACCAGCATGGCAACGTGTACCCGACGGATCCCAACGGCAAAATTGACTGCGCCGTGCACAACATGGGCCACTTGGTCGAAGCGTACGTCAACAAGACCGAGTGCTACCCCGTCTCGGAGCGCCGCGCCCGCGTCCGGATGATGCTGCTCGAGATCACGCGCGCGCTGGAGCACCATGGTATTGAGTACTGGCTCGACAGCGGCACCCTTCTCGGTGCTGTGCGTGGCGGCGACATCATTCCCCACGACGTTGACGCCGACATTGGTTTGACGCAAGCCTCGATGAACGAGCTGCGGCACAAAAATCTCTCGACGCTCTTGCCGCGCTACGAGCTTTTCCTGCGCGACAGTTCGCTGTACCGTGACGGCCCGTACTGGTACCTGCCAGGTCGGTTTGTGGACAAGCACACGGGGCTGTACACGGACGTCTTTGAGTTTTTGCCGTCGCAGCAGCCGGCGAACGCGATGTTCTCAAGCACGAACGGCACAATCGGCGCGCTGCTCATGCCATCAGTCAACGCAATTGTCCACGGGACGGTCGAGATGCTCGGACCCGTCCAGTCGGGCTGCTGGTACACGTGCAAGTACTGCCCCGATACTTGGTACTTCAACATCCCGCGCGAGTGGGTGTTTCCGCTCCAGCGATGTACGATTGCTGGCACAAGCATGTGGTGCCCCGCCCAGCCCGACAAATACCTCACGATGCTCTACGACGAGACATATATGAACTAAGACTAGACAGATATTAGAGTTATTCATGCACACACTACGCGATGTTTGTCCACGAGCCTCGAGTTGGGGACCCCATGACTCGACTCCTACTAAGTGAAGCTATTTTGTCCAATCATCGACGGTGCTTTCAGTCCCAGCTGCAAAGAGCAAACGACCTCCTCATATCAAAGACGCAGCAAACACGCAAGGGACGCACCAACTCTTGGGTGATAGCCCATAATTTAAATTCAATATTCAAATTAACAACAACTGGGATTCAAGCGTGACGCCTGCCCATCCTCGTGCTTGCACACTATATCAGGATACAGTACCTTGGCCCAAGCATCTTTTTCGTCGCTTGAGAAGAGTGCCCGACGCTGTTCAGTGCTTGCGCCCAACCGCGACGCTTGCGTGATTTGCTGGCGACCGTATCAGCACAACGTTTCCACCCACGACCGGCGACGAGGCTGACCTCGAGCGCCTTCTCGAACTACACCTACATTGTACCGTACTCTCGCTGACCAGATCCCCGTCAAGTTGAGTAAAATAAC